TTTCACAGATCAGTCAACATCTTATTATTGACTAACACTTTGTTTGATTAGCTTTATTAAAAATAGAGTTCTTTGATTTATTAAAAGGAAAGAGTCCTTTATCTTCATTCTTCTCTTGAGCTGGAAAGGAAGCAGTTTAGAAGCAAATGCGTGACCCTGAGGCCGTCTCAGGCAGGTTAATTCTGTGTCAGAGGCATCTGAGGAGAGAGGGTAAATAACCATCGGTGGAATAGCTCCGTCATCACGTTACACTGTTGTGAGAAATGCACCAAAGCAACTGAGAAAAACTGTAAACACAAGTTCTTCCTCCTTTTCTCTAAGTGCCTGTGCTGCTGTAATGAGTACATTTCTCCACTGTGGGATCAATCAAGTTTTTTCTATTCTCAAAGCAGAGGTTAACATTAATAATAGGTGCAATAACGTCTCCTGAGATGATCTAAACAGCACGTCACACATGAAAGTTTAACAGTTTTAGAGCAAATGCAACAAATCTGTTCATTTTAAAAGATGGAGTTCTGTCAGAACAATGACTAAAAGCATGAGGTGAACTTTCTCCACATTCAGGGTTCCTGCCTGTGATGGCAGAGCTTCCTCTGGTGGCTGAGTCTGGTTGGTGCTGCAGCTCCTCACTAGTGGAGTCTCTGTGCATAATGCTAAAAAAGGCACATTTAATTAAGGAAAACAACGCAGATAACAGATTTGTTTCTTTTAATCGTCCCTCCTGAGGTGGACTAAGCGGGAGTCTCCCAGTGAGCCGAGCCTAGTGCCGTGGGTGCAGGCTGTTGTGTTCCAGGTCGCCCACTGCTTCCCTGATTACCGCCAGCAGTTGCTTTGCAGCAGCCAATTAAAATCAAATACAATTCTCTCACATATTACCATCATTGTGTTTATTTGTGGATCAATTCCCCTCAGCTGTGTCATTTTACATAATGAAAGCAGAGCCCTTTGATGTGTTTGCCTGCCTGATGCCTTGCTGTTCTTACCTTATTGGAATGTAATGGTTTGAAGGCGGTTTAGAGTTCCTGTAAAGTGTCTCGGTGTTGATGCAAAACACTTGTCCCGCTGATTTTTGTGGGACATTCACTTGTTGTGATGTTGCCCTACTGCAGCATTTCCCTCCGTCTATCTGGGAACGACGCAGCTTTCCCTGCAGCAGAGTCAGACTGCAGTGATTACTTCTTACGTGCAATTAACTTATCAATTAATCAACTGATATTAGCAGAAGCCATTTACTGACACAAGTGTTTTAAGGTGTAAATTAGTGTGGAAAGAAACTCTTAAGTGTGTTTGGTGAGTGAGGGGATTTAGCTGAAGGTACTGATGGTTCTGGAGGATTTGACCCAAATCACAGGATTCGAATCATGTTAAAGTTTATATTCACATTAAAGTGACAATGTCTAATTTTTACCATTAACCGCTGGAAATATCCATCAAAATTTTGTAAATGAATGAAATGATGCCCAGTTGTTGAAAAATATTGGCATCTTTGTAACATATAACATTAAAAATCATGTCTACCATACATGGGAGCGGGTCTAAATCTCTGGGTGACGCCATATTGGATGCCATGTTTTCTTCTATGGAAGCCCATGAGGACAAAATGCATTTACTGATTTGTAACAAACGGTTGCAAGACTTTTACACATTTACCTCCACTTGTTGTCAGTGATGAAACAGAGTCTGATGTGCTTGTTATTTTGCTGAAGTTTGCACTCCACAGGGCTTTTTGACCCTAATGGGCATCCGTTGGTAAGGTCTTACTCCAACACAAAAATACTGCTTGCTTGCAACGATTTATGTTTATGTGCTTAGCAGACGCTTTTACCCAAAGCGACTTACAATTTTTTTTTTTTTTGTTTAACCTATAGGGCATGTTGTGATCTGTGGGGGAAACCGGAGTGCCCGGAGGAAACCCACGCATGCATGGGGAGAACACGCAACTCCACGCAGAAAGGCCGCAGCCGAGTTTCGAACCTGCGACCTTCGTGTTGCGAGGCAACAGTGCTAACATCTGCGCCACCATGCAGCCCAGATTTAGATATCTGCTGCCCCCTATCGCCAGGGAAAATACACACTGTCACTTTAATGTTGAAACTGGTTCATGTTAAAGAGTTTACATTCACACTAACCATTAGTTATGTTCAGGACTGCTGATGTCAGCTGTCTGGACAAATGCTGGCTGGGTCACCTGGAGGAGGACGTTTAATGCTGAAGAACCCCGAAAAATCCAGTGATTCCAGGAAGCATCACTGATGATGTGTCCAGAGCCATCAGAGGAAGGTTTTACACTGAGCAGAAAGTAAGCCATGACATTATTCTGGTCGTTTTGCTCTCCTGACCTGACGTTTGTTTGTTTTCACGTGAAAATGAATGTTTGGTTAGAGATCTTGTGCTGGCAGCTGCCGTTTATGACATCAAGTTTAAATAGAACATGTTTGACGAACTGATATGTTGTGAAGATAAATGGGATTTTGCTGAAACAGGTGATGTAGCTTTGTGTCTCAGGTAGCCACCCCAGTAGAACCATCACTCAGAGGTTAAGCGGGTCACAGGAAGGTGGACTTTACGTGACTGAGGCAACATTTTGATATCTCCTAAGTACTTCTGTTCGACCTTCATGATTGTTTTTCTGCGGAACGATCAACAGTCAGTGAATCACATCCTAAACCTTTTAAATATTTTACAATCGCCTCGCAATCGGAAGGTTGCAGGTTCGAGCCCCGCTCAGTCTGTCGCTGTCGTTGTGTCCTTGGGCAAGACACTTAACCCACCTTGCCTGCTGGTGGTGGTCGGAGGGACCGGTGGCGCCAGTGCTCGGCAGCCTCGCCTCTGTCAGTGCGCCCCAGGGCAGCTGTGGCTACATTGTAGCTCATCTCCACCAGTGTGTGAACGTGTGTGTGAATGGGTGAATGACTGATTGTGTTGTAAAGCGCCTTGGGGGGTTCCAGGACTCTAGAAGGCGCTATATCAAATACAGGCCATTTACAAACGCTCCTACCTCCCACAGCTTTGTGGAACAAATTCTGCATCAGAATGCCGTTGTTCACTCACTGGTGTAGGATCTAGTCCCCAACACCCTCGAGGGCAGTCTCCAAGTCTCCTTTGCTTTTTATCTGTGAGGATTTTTCCACCTCTTTACCAAATCTAATAGTCGTATTTTAAAGACAACTATTAAAAAAATGTAGACATTAGAATATATCTAAACAAGGAAAGAGGGTTACAAATAATATTGTTTAATAAAATAAGTGATAACATCAGGGCTATTTTACTGTTACCAGCTGCAAGTAATCACTGCAGAATGAAAAATGTGTGCATATTTTAAAATTTAGTGCAAATCAAATGTAGAATTATAATTACATTTAAAATGTTGGATGGGGTCTGTGATAAATTATCCACTAAATGAACAGAAAACATAGATTCAGATAATTAAAGGTCTAACGAGTGACTGATTGTGTTCAGTTGTGTTTTCTACGTAAGTAAAAAAAAGTAAAAATCTCATAAAGATTCATGTTTTAAACCACACCCTTGACGAAACACATGATCTTTATTTAAGTTCTGTAATAAAGTCTCAGCTGAAGTCTCACCTGTTGTTAAAAATTAGTCACACACACACACACACACACACACACACACACACACACACATAAATGAAACACTTTATAACATGACTTATAAAGCATTAATAAGCAAATAGTCCCTTTATTAAGTTTCCCTATATTAACTATTAAGTGTCATTGAGGTTTAGACAAAGGGCCGGGGGGGGGGGGGGGGGGGGGGGTCTGCTTAGTAATACATTACTAAATATTAACATTAATATTAAGCAGTTAATAATCCTTAACTAGCGTTAACGGACAGACCCTTACAGCGCACATCTGCCATCTCCATCCAGTGTTTCACTAAGATCCAGCACTGATGGTGGTAGAGTCTGACCGCTGCACAAAGCCTTCTCCAGCACATCCCAGAGGGTTAAGGTCTGGACTCTGTGTGTGAAAATGATGCCTCATGCTCCCTGAACCTCTCTTTCACTATCTGAGCCTGATGAATCCCGGCATTGTCATCTTGGAATATGTCCGTGTCATCAGGGAAGATGGAGTAACCTGGATGTTCAGGTGGTCAGCTGACCTCATTCTTGGAGCACATCCTGTAGCTGAACCTAGACCTGACCACCTGCAGCAAGCCCAGATCATAGCACTGCCCCCACAGGCTAGTACAGCAGGCACTAGGCATGATGGGTGCATCACTTCATCTGCCTCTCTTCTTACCCTGATGCACCATCACTGTTTGAACAGGGTCCATCTGGACCCATCAGACCAGTGTTTAATAACGTGTTGGACAGTTCTTAACCAGTTAAGTCAACTCTGCAATTTTCTTAGATGTTTTCTCTGCTTGCCAGGAATGTGAGAAGCAACTCATTGCACCAGTCAGGGTTAAAGAACTGGTTACAGCTGAGAGATAATCACCTACGCAGTGATGATCCACCAGGAGGCTCCTGCCTGTTGACTTAGTTAAATCCAGGTGGAGACTTTCTTTGGCCAGACAGTTTATGTAAAACAAAATCTGTGGAGACGAGATGTTTAGGAGCAGTTTATAAATCGATGAACCTCCATCTGACTCTGGAATCATTATTTGCTTAAATGAATCCCTAGAAAATGACAAACTGAGTAATAAACAAGAATTAATTTAAAATCCCATCTGTGTGTGTTTAGCATTTACTCTAATCGTTCCTTGTAATCTGTGACAAAAGCTCTTCCTTCAGACTCACCCTGGACGGTGAGCGTGATTGGCGGCTCAGTCAGCGGAGGTGCCAGCATCACAGATGCAGCCTCTCCGCTAATTGCATGCAGACCCTGCGGCGCAGGTGCTCCCTCTCTCTGTGAAGTCGCTCTGGCATCAGCCGCCGCCTTCGAGTCCTCAGAGCAAATGTTTTCTCTGGAGAATGTAGCTGTAATTTAAACAGGACTGAGCAAAAACAGGAACACAAAGGATCCGTGGAAACAGAGTTGTGCTAAATATTAGTTTATTCTCGAGGCAGCAGCAGCTTTCCCGAGCGACCTTTGGATGGAGCCACAGCAGCACTTCAGCTCTCTCTTACTTAATTACAGCAGATTAGATCCACCACCCGCCTCTTCACAACATTATTCTGACAAAATAAAATGATTCGTTCTTTAAAACATCATTATTGCAGCACCTTGATTTACACCGACTGTGTTAGTGCCAGTTGCAAACCAACTATCCCGTCACCAAAATACATTAAAACAAGATGAAGAGCGAAGCCGCGGGCACTGACGGGCGTTTCAGGGCCTGAAACATTTATACAGAACAAAGAAGCAGCTCTTCACTCACTAGCCTCCAGCTCTAAGATCTTTGAAGACAGACTAGTGCACACATCTGGCTCTTGGCCACGTGCCCATGCCTGCATTTTCATCAGGAGGTCTGGGATTGGGTTCAGAGTCTGTGTGTGTGCTCGGTCTGCCGCCAGCACCGAGCCCCTGAGTCACGTTGGTGACGTCTGCCAGCCCCCGCCTCTCTGACAGCGACGTCACCACGCGTTCCAGCTTAGAGCGGATGGCCGAGTAGTGGTACTGGCGCTCTTTGGTCAGCTTGTGGAGGGTGTCCTTTAAGGTGTTGTATGGAGCCACCTGGAGGGCTAAAGACTGTCTAGATGAGAGGTCGTGGACTGGTGGAAGGTGGTTGAGATGCTGCACAAGCTGGAGATCGGTCTGGGTGTCACTCTCCATCACCGACCAGCTGGTCTGGGTCGAAGTGTCGCATGAGAGGGGCGGTGTCTCCTGGCGTCGAGTCATGCTGCCAGCCAGGATCTCCTCCTGTATATGCTTCTGCTCCGTCACACCTATGGTGGAGGAGTCCGACACCGGGCTGGCTTTATGACGATGTGGAGATGAGGGCTCAAAATCCAACATCTGGGGTTTACGACTGGGCGTGCTCGTCATACAGACTGGACCAGTGAGCGTGTCTTTAGCCACAAGAGGGGAGGAGGTAACAGAGTGCTTGACAGCAAAGTTCTCCAAAAGGCCACTGCTGCGGACGCTCGGGGGTCCGCGGGCGTTGACGGGCAGAGACTGGGCGTAGAGGATGCGAAACTCCTCGTCAAATTTCTCCGTTATCTGACCGGAGAGCTCAGTCAGGTTGCTGCTGTTCAGCTTGCCGTCAGTCCAGTTGAACCTGGAACAGGAGACCGAGCAAACGTGATGCATGACCCGGGAAGAATGGAGCATCACCTACAGCCTGGCTGCTCTTACCTGTAGGAGCCTGTGGCCACTCGGTTTCCATCGATAAGCATGAACCGCTCGTGAACTTTCCCGGTGATCCTCACCCCAGCCCTCGTGTAGTAAGTCGTGCCCGTTATGGTTCGAACTCTCATTTGCTGGAAGGATTAAAGGGATCCTTATTTTATCAGATGCTCTCTGAAGCCTGCAGACACGCCCAGCTGAACCAAACCAGCCACATACCTGAAGGTCGTCCAGGCGAACACCGACGTTTCTGCACATCTGGAGGAAAGCGGGGGCGCACGACTGGTCGAGCAGGATGTAGACGGGGACTCTGCGGAGGGAGCACGCCTCCTGAAGATCTTTAAAGATGTCCAGGTCTGTGAGGGAGTCTGTCACTATGGCGATCACCTGCAGTGGAAAATTACAGAGGTGGTATAATATAATAAAACTCCTGTTGAGCCTGCAGATGCAGCACATGATTGTTTTCATCATTATCAAACACAAGGCCTTATTCAAACACCGCCGTGAAGCTCCGTCACACACACACACAAATGTGTGTGCTGATGAGCATTCTATTGACTGTGGTCTGTTACCATGGCAACCAGCCACGATGCTCAGTCAGCAAACAGTTGACTTATACAGGAGAGAAGGTGCACCGTAGGGTTTTCCTCCTCTGGCACAAGCATTTCTGTTTCTTTGTGCACCAAGATGTTTCTCTCTTTCACACGCAGGAAAGGAATTTGACACGCTGTGCTAAAGGCTGCAAGCGGAGGATTCGACGAGGGGGTATCTTAGATTCACAGCTTCAAGCTAGCAGGATTCACACGCCACTTTGTCAGGAGCACTTCACCTTTCTTGGACAGTAACAGAGGCCAGCTGCAGACGGTGTGGGTTCACATCACTTCAGAACAACAGACCACATATATCGATTACTTTATTGTGGTTTCCCTCTGAGCTGTAAATCCAGGAGATGTGTTTAGTGAGTGGGAATGCAAATATTCATGTAGGAGAGCAAAACAGGTCCAGGCACATCTGGCATGCAGCTTCCACACCGGCCCCAGGTGCTGCTGGAGCTACAGAACGTCTTCGTGCTGGAATAATCCCTTCTCAAAAACATGTTTTAATGAAACCAGCGTGGACTACGGCACATCTATATGCAACAACTGCAGAAATGCAGACAATAAATGCTGTATGTCTGGTCATCTTTTAAACTCTCTTTTCTCTATTTCTAGTTAGTTTTCAGGTTATGTTCTGAGAGCAGTCCCAGTACCCAGCACCTGATCTGCTGGTCAGGGTTGTCTTTCACTCATCATGGAGAACCTGCTGAAGAGACATCGTGTCTACAGCAACACCAGGAAAACGCGCCTGTGTGACATCACTGCTGCACACCGCTACGCGGGGTTAGTTAGACAACAAATAACGCAGAAGTCGTAAATTTGTGGCTGTTCCTCCCGGCTCTCTACCTCTCTGGCGCTCTGAACCAGGCGTCTCGCCGCCTCCTTGCAGCTGTAAATACTCTCTCCGTAGCTGGGCTGGAAGTACGCCACGGCCCGGGTCACTCCCCGGTACGACCCCGCGGTGAAGGCGGGCCAGCCGAGCTCCAGCAGCGGCGGCTCCACGTCCGACGCCTCGGGGAAATAAGTGACCGAGGAGCAGTCCCGGGAGCTGCAGACGGACTGCTCCAGTGGCTGGTCCTCTCCGTGGAGGGAGGCGCACCGCGGGGGCACGGCGGAGCTCCGGATCCGCTGAATCTCGTCGTTGGACAAGAAGTTCGGAATCCTCTCTCTCCGGAGAAAGTCCAGAAAGTCGTCGGTACCTCCGGACAGCAGCTCCTCCAGAGCCAGTCGATGCATCTCGTTGTACACATCCTGCGGGTTCGGCCCGCCGGTTCGGGTCGGTCTCGGACCCAGTCTCAGAGGTGAATCCTCCAAGCTCTGTGACAGAGCCATTACAGTGACGTCCTCAGCAGCGGCAGACAGGTAACGTCCTCACCTACAGCTCGGAAAATTTGTATTTAGCCGTTTCCTTCAGTTCCGGTCCGTCCTGTGTCGCTATTGGCTGCTGGTCGGACGTCAAACTAAATGCAGTCTCCGGAATTGTGGAGAAAAGCGGTCAATCAAGCAAATCGCTGCTCTGATTGGTTCATTTGGAGGCAAACATAGCTGACCCCGCCCCACCCCTCTGCTCTGATCCGGTTACTCTCTGACGCTTTTCCGCTCAACGGCAGAAAGCAGCGGAATCCTGCCCGTTTTCTCTGCTGCTGCATCGGTTAGTGAAACCGAGCCGGTACCACCTCATCCGGGATCACGTTCCTTCTACAGAAACACTTGTTGCCAGCTCTGCTGCGGTTCCGGAGTTTTATTTTGAAAGGCTCGGAGAGCTCAATTCGCGTATTCTGCTAATAAAATAAAACAGTAAAGGTCAGATGATCATATTATGACACAGTTTAATAAAACATGCTATTTTGGTGTTCATCTATCACTTAATCAGCATGTATAAAGAAAACAATTGAATCTACAAAAGTCCGGATTTCAGATTTGTAATTTAGCTAAACAAACAAACAAAATAACCTTGACATATAAATTTGAAATGTTTGGCAGTGGAGATTATTTAAATTTGAAAGCTAATTTATTCATGAAGAAACATCTTCACCATTTTCATGCGTATTCTAGAAAGGTGGGCTGGATAACTCGGATGAAAGAAAACTTTTTATGAATAGATGAGGCTATATTTATGGTGATCTGAGTTAAAGAGAATCAGCGTCCTCACTAATCTCTTCAATTTTTTTATTACATTGCATAGCGAATCCAGTCCAGTGAAAATAACACGAGGAGTAAAGCTGTGAACACAAAAGGCACGTACGTGTTGCTCCCGTGGACACTGCTGCGTGTGGGCCTTTTACGCATGAGCTGTAGCACATCTGGTCTCTCACTCAGGTTACTGCAAATTTATGAAAAACAAAACTATTTTTAAAACGTGACACGTTGTTCTTATAATCATATTCCCGTTCTAATTGAGATTATTTATTTCAATGGCATTTTTCTCTCGATTGGTCATGTTGCAGTCATTGTGCAGCTTGCGCGCTAGCTCCAGCGCTTTTACGCGCAGAAGGCCAACAAGGTCACGAGGCCTGCAGCCCTTAAATCTATACATTATTCATCAGTCCAGCATTGGTTTCATTTAAAACCTTCCTCGTGCTTAAACTCACATCCATAATTAGGTTACAGTAAGTGCGCAGCAGCTAGAATGCTCTACAGTAATTACGCGTGTGCGTAAATGTCTATTTTAGGCCAATGGCTTAACACGCTTTAAACGAGCAGGTTAATATGAACAGAGAACGGTAAGGAGATGCATGTTCTGCCTCAGAAGCATCTGCTGGTGAAGGATGTGATCAGATAAGAGAGTTTTGGTGGTGGGACTCCTCAAACCTCGCCCGCGGCGCTGTTAACGCACAGCTTATTTACCAAAATGTGAGGGCTCTGCACACCCTCTTCCTCCTCCTCCTCCTCCTCACACACACACATACATCCCCATCTCCTCCCCGCCCCTCTCCAAAATTTTAGATGAAAGGGCTTTTGGATTTTGGATGACGCTCTGTATCACGTGTTCATAGGAAATACACTCGCTATAATTTTTTGGAGCTCCCTCGTTGAGCGCAGCCGAGCGTAGTTGTTTTAGCCGTCTCCGTCCCGTGGAGCTGGGAGGTGGATAGCTAATGTAATGTACCTTGCCTTGGTCACTGACGGGTTCACGCCAGTTCACCCGGTTCATTTGAGGAGAGCAGCCACCCCCTTGTTTTTTTTTTTACTCGACTCTGATCCTCTTCAGCTGAAAAGCGACGCGATCGGAGCTGATCCAGAATAATTCATTCCCAGATTTTAATGCCGGATTCCATTTCTGCTGAGCCTCCGCCGCCGCCGCTGAGGTAAGGACACATCCACTCTCCGCCACCGGAATCCGCCTCGTCTCGCCGCGCTGCCATCTCCAAACTTGTTTACTGACATTAGAAATCGCTGCTGAAGCGTTGCGTCTTCGTGTGGCGCTGCTGTGGTGGAGGCAGCCGATATCAAGTCGCCAATGTATAAAATGGCGACAGTAGGTGGAGGAGGCGGGGTGGAGGGTTTTGGGGAATATAAAGGTTATGTGGAGCTGCGAGGCGGTGCTGCCCCGGAGCCACACGGGTTAACTCGGCAGTTAGCTGGAGTTTCAGCGGCGGACCTGCGCTCCTCTCAGCGTAGATGTGGCGTATCTGCTCGTGTGTTGCACAACGCGCTGAATTTCTCCACCAGCGTTTAGTTGTGTAAGACTTTTGAACACCAACACACTTTGGTTTCCTTTCACATGTGTTCCAATTCTGCCCTTCTTCATGATCCCGTAGAGTATTTATTATTTTTATTTCCTCCTCTCTTCCTCCATGCCAGTCCTGCACTCACGCTCGTTTTTCATGACATGCAAATGATCTGCAGATATTTGATCAGTCAGGCATTGGGTTAGAAAATATGAGTTCACGTAAGTCCCATTCTGTACATAAATATTGACCCAGCTCTGAGTGCCATGTTCGGGCCAGGGACGGACCTGTGGCTTTGTGGATCACGGGTCCAGTGTCCGCAGCTCAAAAGGCAACCCCAAATTATTCAAGCAGGAGGCTAGACGAGCACAAATCACTGAGAGTCGTTTCTGGGAATCCACCTCTATGAGTTAACCCTGTTATGAGTTTTATATAAATAATGTTGGTCACAGGAGTGACCGTGCAACTCCTCCCTGCTCCTGACAAAGTATTTGGACTCCAAACGGCGGAGTGCAGTCCGCCTCCGGTGGGCATTTTCTGCACTTGGATAGTTGATTTGCAGGCGTGCGTTGTGGCCAGCAAAACAAAGGCAAACGAACTCTGGCTGTGCAGCTCCAGCAGACCCAGCCCGGCCCGTGAGTTCAGTGTGTGTGTGGAGGTTTTCACTCCAGCAGGATGCTCACACTGGGGGAATGTCAATTCCCCTTTGTGGATCCCTGGGAACGGTCTTCCATCTCCCTTCTCGGAACTGCTCTAATGAGGCCAGGCATATTGCCTTTCATCCCTCACTCCCTGCAATTAGGCACAGCTCATAGTTTTCATTATGGCCACAGCTGAGTGTTTGTGCAGACACAATGTAGAGGGCCAGGAGCGCCCACCTCCCTCCCAACAGCACGTACCTCCTATACTGTCCTGCTCTGACGTCTCACAGCCAAATCTGCTGTAGGTGCTGTGTTTCTGTGTGCCTCCCACCGCTCTAGAGGAGGGTCATATGGTCATGATTTGCAGATTTAGCCAACATGAAGCGTACAACACTCCTTGAGTTTAGATGAAAATAAAAAAAATCAACAATCTTATGCCAGCGGAATCGATTTTCAAGCTGTTTTCATACAAACACGTTTCATGGCAGCAGCGTGCATCACGACCCCCACAGAGAGGTCTCCCCAAAACACCTGAAAGGACGACATGCTACACAGGTTCACTTTTTATTTTGGGTCTTTTTTTTCCCTTTTGGTGTTGCTTTTGTCGTCGGACCAATGCGGCATCGAAGCCCAGCTCGCTCAAAAGCCCCACTAAACCAGCATGTTTACTCAGTTTCAACCAAAAGAACCGCCCGTTCACTGAAAAAAGCCTTAGGCTGGTGGGGGGAGCCCCTGCCTCCTTTCTCTGTCCCATACAAGAAAGGTTTGGTCAGCAGGAGCTGGCATTTGCCAGGCTTTAGTAGCTTCAAGAGGCTGTGATGTCAGCCATTTTGAGGTGGACAATGCGCCGTATGCCGCCATCTTTCTTCCTTTTACATGTTAGAATTTTAGATGAATGCCTTTAGCCTTGACTCGAGACGGGAATGACTTATTCTCCTAAGTGATGCAAATGGAGGTGTGAGTCTGAGGCGCTCTGTATGCTCCGTGGTTTATTTATCTGCAGACTGGAGGATCAGGTGAACGATGCAAGATGTCACCAGTGAGCACTCACGCTAGCACAAAAACAGGGCCGCCCAACAAAGGTGCTCAGAGTCAGGCGGCGTGCAGCAGGTACCGCCTCAGCCTCCTGCCTCCAGGCCTTGGCTCTGATCTGACAAGACGGTCTCTCGCTCGCTCACACACACACACACACACACGCACACGCACACACACACACACACACACACACACACACACACACACACACACACACACACACACACACACACAGGTCAGCAGTGAGGTTTCTCTCATCAGGACCTGTCACACAAAGCAGCAGCTATCGCTACAATAAGGGTGTGTGTGTGTGAGTGTGTGTGTGTGTGTTTGGGGGGGGGTCTTCAACACCTGACCCATAGTTCCTTAAAGACGTTTGGACCTCCAGTAGACTTTTAAGTTCGTCCACACCAGATATTATCCATGGAATTCAGCGTGTGTGCTTTGAGATTTGATGGGTGTGAGCAGGCGGCTCTGCTCTGTAAGGGTCTGTGTGTGTGTGTGTGTGTGTGTGTGTGTGTGTGTGTGTGTGTGTGTGTGTGTGTGTTGGTGTGTGTTGGCGTGTGTTTGTGGCATGGTGGGCAAAGGAAAGAGTGGGGTTGCTATGGCGATGTTAACACATTAGTGGCACCACCACCAGTCTCCCAGTAGATGAGGGTGCAGTTATGGAGGTAAGGGGGAGTGTGTGTGTGTGTGTGTGTGTGGGGGGGGAGACAGGCTGGCTGACAACACCTGCGTCTCAGACACCAAACACAAACACACCCATGTAAAGGAAACAATGAGCGCCCACAGTGAGGAGGTAGACTGTGGATGTCTTCGGCTGGACGCACATGTTAGCGCCGTGCTAATGACCCCGGTGACTCCCAGTTGTTTTTCAACACACGTAACCTCGGAGCGCCACGCTCATTCATGCTGGCAGACGCACTCCGAGGAACCACCAGGCTGAAACCTGTCCGTCCAATCTGATGGACACGGAAGACACCCAAACACTCAAGGGACAGAACAATCCCAGTTCAACAGTCATCCGTCTCAAACCTCCAGCGCTGGATCACGTTTCTTTTATAAACGAGGCCCCATTGTTCCCAGTCTGCACCACAGTCATGTTTCTGTCTCTGGCTCATGTTTGGGCGTCCAGCTGATCCACTCACATGACGTTAATCTGTCTAATGGACATTTGGCAGAGATGCTCTTGCTAAACAGATTTTTTTGATCATACAAACGTATCTGTCAGGACACACACACACACACACACACACACACACATTTCGCTTTTCTGTTTTTGTTTTTCTAAGCAGACTCAAGACAGCCACAGATCACTGTCAGAGCAAATTACACACAAAACAAACGTTGTCATAAGTGAGAGGATTGCTGCCTTTGTCGTCGCCCCCCCCCCCCCCCCCCCCGCCCCCCCCCCCACCCCCCCCCCCCCCCCCCGCTTCCTTTGCGCCTGTCACACAGAGGCTCTCCTTGCCAGTTCTGAGGGAAAGATTTCTCAGAGCGGTGCAGGTGCTAAGTGCTGCGGAGGTGAGGCGGGAGATGTGTGCCTACGCGGTGTCAGCGGGGAGGAATATTGAAACGGCTCAGCCTGTCATCATCATCAGTCATCCTCTCACTTCACTCCCAAACGGATGAGTTTGGTCTTCCATTGTCCTTCCCTCTCCTCTGAGCCTTCCCATCCCCAATTCATGTGACAGGCAGCACAACAAAAACACCGGTCTGTGTTTGCTGATGTCAGCGGTAGGTGACCCGACTGTCTGAATCCGTGGACTGTTTGAATAAAATTTTAATGTCTAGCAGGCTTGCCTCTCCGTTCCGCTGGTGGCAGCCTGCTGAAGACTGGGCATGATTTTTCTTTGTAATATTGTAATTTCTGCAGCAGTTTATGAAGGGAGGAGTGAGAATACATGCTGGGTTCTTTCAGTCGAACAGCAACAACACACTCAAGTATAGAAAACACAACCCCCTCCCAGTGAGATGTAAATGTAACGTTTGAACTGAGTGTAAAAGCACAAGAAGAGCGGGGGGGGGGGGGGGGGGGGGGGGGGGGGGGGTTACTGTAAATCTGAAAGCTACTATTTAATCAGGCGGAACTTATAAACCCCATCAGAATTTAAACCTAGCTTAATCCCATTTGTCTTGAAACGCTTGTTTTGGGAAAGTTGAATTGTTCCACCACGGTTTTAGGGTGCTGAACAAGGCCTGTGTGCTGGCTGCGAGCGTGGGTGTTCCCGGGGCTCGTCCGACAGCCCTGCCACTTCTCCCTCTCTCCCGAGGCTGCGTGGCTCCTCTGGTCTGCTGAGATGAAAAGAGACCCCCCCCCCCCCCCCCCTCCCGTGCCACGGAGCCGGTGCCAGAGCGAGGACATAGGACACACCAGGGACAGCCGCCGTCTACCTTCCTGCTGAAACACAAGGCCGGCCTTTCAGAGCCATCCATTCACAGGCTGTCCTGTCTGGGATCCCTCGTCTTGCGTCTGATCGCACGCCTCAGCCGCCAGATAGAGCGGCCCGTTCTTTTGATAGGTGACCTGATTCTTTATGTAACCCTGCTCAGCTTATGGGCTGGTTGGTGATTTTTATTCATGTGGGAATTAGGAGTGTTTTTTATTTGGGGGGGGGGGGGTCTATACAAGGCCAGTCTCCACACAAACCGCCACCTTCCCACTGTGAGCTCACAACCACAATCACCTAGTATTAACTCTAAGGCACCCATAAAGACACATCAGCCATAGGGTCATGTACAACAAACTTATAGCACTGTTTTACACATAAGCTCTCTCTCTCTCTCTGTGTGTGTGTGTGTGTGTGTGTGTGTGTGTGTGTGTGTGTGTGTATGTGTGTGTGTGCCCTATAGACGGTTAAACTCTTGCATGAAGACGGTGTTTGTATGTGTTCTAATAAGGAATGAAGGGATTCATGTAATCATTTATTTTGTAGATTAACTTAGACAAACTGGTTATTG